ATGTATGTATTTGTTGTCGATCGTCTTCTTCGGCAAGAGTCATCATCATCACCAAGCAAAGCCATCATCATATATATGTATCGGGTCCAAGTCGCCATCATTTGACGAACGAGTTCGGGTCGAGCGTGTATGAAATATTTCCAATTTGTGCGCGCTGCAAACAAGTGTCCACAAAGTCGAAAATAATTTCGTGGCAAAAGTAGTACGTTTAGTACAAGTGTTGGTGTTGGGCCGTAGAAAATTTCTACTGCAAGTTGTCCCCCGTTAATTAATGGACTTGTGATTGTTGCAAAAAAAAAAAAAAGAAAGCAGAGAAAAAAAACATTAAAGAAATCTAACAATTTTCTACAAACTGCAAACTTACTTACAAACGCAGAGATTGTGTTGAAATAAAGGTTGGTGTGCAAATTGCTGTACTGAAAAGTGTGATTTGATTTTTTTTTTTAATTTCTCAAAAGAATTCAATACATCGATTTAGCGAATTTCACCAAAAAATTATGCATATGTACATGTGTACGTGCGCTTAAGAGACGGAAACACCTCTTTTAGCATGCAAATGGTTATAAAATGTCTTAAGAATACTGTGGTCCTCACATTCACGAGTCCAAAAACACGAGAAAGTTGCAATGTGTCATTTTCAGTTTCGTGGAAATTTTTATTTCGTTTGATTTATATTTGCATAAATTGATCAGTGTGTCATATTGATTTGTTAAATATTGAAAATTTTTATACTTATTTACTTTTCAGCCGTCACAGGTTATATTTGTAGAAAAAAAAAATTATATATGTATGTGGCTGAAAAAGAATTTCTTTTGCAAAATTTTTAAAATTTTGTACCGAATTTCAATATTAAATTTTGAGTTCTTAAATTTAAATTTTTTTACTTATTTCTTTATTCCTTGCTGATTTATAATATTATTTATGTGTTGGTATATGCTTTTCGAAATTTATTGAACGGCTAATTTTGAATAAATTCCAATGACTTTTTTTTCTCAAAAAAAAAATTAAAAATAAAATTTGGGCTCATATTTTTTTTTTAATTTTGAAATATTTTTTTGAATATTTTTTAAAGCAAAGTGCAATTTATTACCGCCAACTGCTAACCGATTGTGATTTTTATGGCAAATTCCATGTGTCATTTTTTTTTTTTAATTCAAATACCAAAAACTGTTAAAGTTGACAAAAATCCCCATACTTACGAGCATGCTTGGCTAGAATGCACAAAAAAAAGTATTAAATAAATTTATTAAAATTTCATCAAGGTAAAAAATATTGGAAAGTTTTATATTTGACATTTGTTGCGAAATATATTAGGGCTAGTAAAAAGTAAACCATTATTTTTTTCATTATAATTATTATTGGTTTTATGTCAAATATGCACCATTTTTCTCGAGAACTTTTTGCCATTTTGAATGTACAATAACATCATTAGGCCTACCTCATAGAATTTCCTGCCTCTATTTGCGTTTTTCACGGGCTTCTTTTAAGGTCAATTCTTCACCAGCCAAATAATTCGCCATAAGCAAATCCATTGAACATAACTTAACAAACCCTCCAATTAGCAGTTTGTGCATGAAACACCTACTTAGTGCTCGAGCCTCTCATTGCCTGATCCCAGGAGTATTTAACATCCAGCCAATGAATTCTATTCCTGACATAAGTCAAAAAATTATGTAAATTTTTTCTGATTGCGCTTACCTCTCGGCAGGGAATGGCAAGTTTTCCGGGTGTATTCTCTGCAATGAAATAAAAAGATCCTCAAATCTAACAGCTTTTTGGAGGCGATTTCGAAACTTTGTTGAAAAAACATTAAGAACTCGATCGTTAATTCTTCAGTGGTTACCAAGCGCCAATATATATGTATATATAATAAATATTAACTAAGCTGGCTGGCTGGTTAAAAATTATTTTCTTAGATACGCTGGAGGAGATCTGTATCCTGGAGCCACATGATTCTGAATTTGTTGGGAACACTTTTTTTGTTTTTTTTTTTCTCTGCTACAGAAGCGTCCGCTGTGAAGGTAGATACTTTTTGATTCGCTCCAAAAGATAGCTCCCGGTCTCTCTGTGAGATATTATCTGCAACTTAATAAAATCGGGTTATGTACTCAGAACCAGATGAATTGAATATAAGTAGAGTTCCTTAAGCAAACATGACACATATTTGATTCGTGTGCTGTAACTCAGCGAAAATGCTTTATTAGCAGTGCTGTAGAGGTAATGAAGAGCTTAGAAAAGAGTTTTTAGATAGAATAGATGAGAATATCGTTGAATGATGCTAATGCAGATATCGTTTCTTATGAGTTTCCTTAAAATTTTAATCCAATTTTCTTAAAATTTTAATTCCAAGTTTAAAACCCAAAAAAAATTAAAGCGGATATGACAACAGCAAAGTCAGATAATGAGTGATCGTTTACCAAAATAGATAATTAGATAAATTTTACTTATATATTTATAATAATCTATGACTATATACTTATACCGGAGACAGACCAATTGAGCTAAGTTGCATTAAATGGCACAAATGTAAATTAGTTTTTTACCACTGACAGACAGCACAAATGCGCATTTAGTTATCAAACAAGTTTTGACCAAAACTTTGCGGTCAAAATGAGAAGTATTTCTTTTTCCAATTTGTAGCTATTTTATAGGCAATAAATAATTGCTCATCTAAAAGTAAGCTTAACATTCTTCTCTTAAACTTTATAAAAATATTAAAATAATTGATGCATTCGCAAGCATAAGCCTTCACATAAGGTTTTTTATTCAAACTGGGATTGTTACATTTTTAGGTCTTTTTTTTATCACTGTGAACGTAATTTCTTCCATTCACAATAGTTCAGGAAATTGTAATGCATTCATAAATGCATTAAGAAGATCATAATTCACGATTTAATGCAAATAAAGCTATCTTAAGCAAATAGTCTGCCCCACCAACAGAGTCAATTGCAGTACCGAGGAACTTACTAATAGGTTTGAAAAAAAAAAAAGTTTTTTCTCATTGCATTCAACGCCCATGTGGCCTGGCACCTAGTAAATGTAAATTCTTCTTCCTTTAGAGAGTATTTCAAGCGCCGTTTTTTGCCCTGTATGAAATTAAGACCTCAATGACCGCTTGGCTATCCACATAAATTTGAGTTCTATATTTTTTTTTTGAAAACCTTTACCCTGCATTAGTTCTGCGGCAATTTTTATAGCCCCACTTCGTCACTCTTCGTCACTCTTTTAAGTTTCATCTGTAAAAATATGGCGAGCTTTGCCGGCAGAATTTAAATCTGTGATCTAGTCCTTCTCCCATATTTTAAGATCGACAATAAGCTTCCCGAAAGCCAAAAGCAAATAATCGCTCATGGCGCGCAAATTTTCGAGTACGAGCTCAAGTAACTGGAGCTTTTTTGAGCTTTGGAAAAAAGTTTTCCTTTTTCTAAGCAGCATTAAAAGTTGAAAAATTTCCAATAATATTTTAACGAGTAACGAGTATCGAATGATACCCGGGTATCTAGTCGTATATGTATATATAAATGACTTTTCGCTTATATCATTTATTTCCAATTTTTTATTTTTTTTTGTATGCATAACGGAAGTCCTTGTGCAAGGTTAATTTAATAATAATTTAAAATAATGGAAATAATTTTTTTTTGAAACTCATGGCATACATAAAAAATTATTTATTGGGCTTTATTAAAAATAAAATATCTATAACTTTTAATTATTCGATTTAATAGAAATATTTATGTACATTTAAAATTCTTTAATAATGATGATATTTTGTGTGTGAAACGAAACGAAAGAAAAAAAAAAGAAAAAAAGAGCTGTGTGGAAAAAGACATTAAAAATTTTGAAAAACAGTAAAACATAATAATAAATAAAACAAATTCTATTTATAAAAATAAATACAACAAATAAAGGCCAACCAAAAAAAAAATAGTATAACAACAAAAATATTTATTTTCATAAAATGGCCCAAAAATAAATGTTTTCATGTGGAAATTTTTTTATTTTCGTAAAAAACATGAGACATTAATGGAGAGGGCACTCGAAAGGCACAGCTGCTGGAGCACGTACGATTTCAATTTGTTTACAAAATATTGAAAACCAGCAAATAACATAAAATCGTGGCAATTTTTAAACAAAAATAAACAAATTAAAATCAAAAACAGAAACTAAAAGAGAAAGTGGGCGATGGCCAGATAATAAATGTGACAGACGAAAAAGACGATATTCGCCATTACAACAAGCTTATAATATTAATATATAAAAAAATATATATTTATTTGCATAAACAGAATCATAAATGCAATTATCTTGTTTTTCAATTTAAAATATTTATAAAAAAAAAAAAATAATATTCTGAATTTTAAAATATTTCTGGGTCATTAGTTTTCTGATTTATCATATTTTTTGCTAATTTTTTATTTTTTTATTTTTGGTTTTTTATTTTTGGAAGTGTGTGCACATCTGCTGCGTTGCCATGAGACAGTATAATTAATAATCAACTTGGCACACATAATGGCATACAAAAATATTTGTTAAATGCTTGTTGGAAATTGAAAACATTTTATTTTTCAATAAAATAGTCTCCCAAACACTCTAGTTCTCCAACCAATGATAAAAGCAAAACAGCAATGCGGTATATATCAATCAATCGCTGCTCTCTCTCCCTCTCTCTCTCTCTTCGTAACGGTTGCCCCAATCGGCAGTTGTAGGCCACTTCTCGGCATAAAACAATGGCAAATACCCTTCAGCTGTCAATGCGTGCATTTTCTAAATCCTAAATCAATCAGCATGCAATATAGAATATTTTCCAGAAACCAGAAAAATTTATGCCGAAATTAAATATGAAATTTAAAAAAAATTAATTTAAATTTCTCTCCTGAAAATTAAGCACAATAAAGCGGCAAGCAGTTCAATTAAATTTTTAATTTCAACTTTTTTTTTCGTTTATATCTTTGTATCTTTTACACTATTAACAAAAAAAATTATAATTTTATTAACTACAGGCTGTTGAAAGCATCGAGGAATATAGTCATAGCGAGTATATTGAGGAACACACAAAGATTATATCACAGGTGAGAATTACACGCGCTTAAGTAAGACTGAATGAAAGATATTCTATATACAATATACATATATATACATATATTTATATTATAATTACTTTCCTCCCACGCAGACAACTGAATCATTCGCCAGTGAGAGAAGTTATAGAGCAGTCGCTTTTGAAAAATTACCGTTACCTACTACCGGCGGAAACGTTGTTGGTAAGTTTGAATAAAAAAGAAACTGTCATCATCAATTAATATCTTTAGTATATACATATATATGTATTATATATACAGATTTTGTTTTTATTGAAAAATAATTAAAAAATAGTAAAGTAATTTAAAAAAAAAGTTTCTAAATGCGTTACACCCTCTGCAGGAAATGTCAACTCCTCAGAGTGTATTGAAATGAAAGCTGCTCAGCTTGACTGAAAATCGCTTGAACGATTACAAAATGCCATATATTATATGTATGGGTATACGAGGTGTGCCCAAAACATAATGAGAATTTAAATTTTTGAAAATATCGATCTTTGAGATAACCTTCAATTGTTCTTGCGGCGATGTGCTGTCATCCTATAATCTACGGCGCTTTAAGATTCTCTTAATTTTTTGAAATGAGAATATGGATGCTGAGGCTTTGCTACAGTGTTGATTCTTGATCTAAGATTATCGTGGTGTAAGCGCATTGAAATGATTTTCCACAAACCCGGACGTTTTTTCGCTTGATTTTCGCGAGCTGTGTTGGCTATTGGACCTTGTATCAGGCATTCATGGTGCAGTACTATGCCAATAAAGTGGAAGAACACAAAATATTTCCAATGAGGTAGTTGAGCCTTAGTTTCGACACCATCTCTGTAAACCTATGTTTCGAGGAACTTCGTCCTTTTTTTCAGATTACAGAACCCTTCTTGATGAAATCGATATACCAACATTATCAGAGATTTCTCTAATTGTGATTCAGCATTCATTATTTCTTTCACTTTTTCATATTTTCATCGCTTGTCGATTTGCTGCCAAGTTCAAGGCATTCCCAATTTTTACCGTTTTCGCGGCATATTTGGCATTTTCAATATCTCAAACACTTTTTTTCCATTTTTATTGCAAAATTTATTACAAAACAATCTTTGACTCATTTCCAAATGAAAATCCCCAAGCTCATAACACCTTAATGGACGAAGACCACAATGAGAAAAAGCTGAAAGTTTTTCATACTTCAGACACCCGTACACATACCAAAATAATAATAAAAAAAGATCTAACAATCGGACACTCCAAGCAGGCGAAATTTAAAACTTTTCGTTATTTGTTGAAAAAACCTCGCTTATAATATACAATAATAATTGGCACTTGGTAACCGCTGAAGCGATTTTTGGCCGAGCTTCTCATCTCCAATTTGTGGTTTTGGGTCCTGAAGTTTTTCCAACAAATGGTGGGACCTACAGTTTATACTAAGCCGTCTCCCAACGTTTGGTGGCTTTTTATGAGGAACCTTTATTTCTTGTCAGAAATGCACTTAAAATTAGAAAATTGAACTTATTTTTTTTATTTAAATTAATTTTTTATAATTTTTGTATGTTGGTGGGACCAGGTTTAGAACCATGGCTTTCCGAATGTCAGTACGCAATGCATTGATATTATTAAACTTTCTAGTAATAAAAAAGTGTAAATCAATTTCGTTGAATTCTGTCTGAAAGGCGTAAACCATTATGTAAGCTAGGCCTGATTATAAAGGCTAAGCCAGTATCATAGGTTTATCATCATCTCTCGCTATTAGTATTTATATTCTGTATTTTTTTCTTGTTACTGACAAAGATTTTATTTTTTTCTCCGTGTTTGTATGAGCTTTATGCCCTCTTCCTACTAAATTTCGTTATATTTAAGCGATTAAAGATTATAATAATAATTTCTGGAAATAGCATCAAGCGAAATTAAGGGGACTGCTCCCTGATTTTCAAAGTGTTTAAATGAATTTTGCAATACAAAGAATATTTTTCAAATGGCAGCTTCTCGAACACACCTGTCTCACTCAAGCTGCGATCTTTCAAAAGTCTTTGAATGCGTTTTTCCCAAAACCATCTTTTCCGATCTATCTTCAAGCCCCGGGCTTGATCTATCCATCTGATTTCTTTTAATTAAAAACTGTTTCAAAGTATTTGGTTTCTTTAAAAGCCTTGGACCTAAGATTGGCATTAATAATTAATTATTTATATTTTCTTAACGTAATTGAAGTGAGCATTATGCAATAAATTTATCGTTAAAATTGTTTCAATTGAGGTTAAGGTCGTCGAAAGTTTCATGATCTTCAAGTAATGGCAACGATTTTTGATTTCAGTCTACTAGAAGAGGCTGTAGGCTTAAAGCGGTTGGGCCATGTTGTTGGAGCAGAGACCGACGGAAAGCGTTATTTTGAATTATGACTATTTTCTTGCCGTTTTAAAATCTGAAACATTAAATAAATTTAATAGTCATAACCGGAACAACCTCGTGCGACTTTTCATTCTCCTACAAAAAATTACAAACTTTGCATGATTTTTGCCAAATATCTGGGGTGGGTCCCATTAATGCTCAACTTGCGTGTTGTAAACAGTAAAATAATCGCTAGAACTATTAAAAGGCATTAATGGCGTTGATCATCATTCTATGTCTTGTGAAACCCTTCCAAATAAAACATTAGTACTGGAGTTGACCAATTCAGGGTCGATAACGTGGATTCTCTGCTCGAAAACAGCCTATAAAATTTACTTTTTTTTATTTATTTGAATATACGTCCCGTTGAGGGGTAATCCTTTAAAATAATTTGTTTCTATTGTCAACCTCTATTCTTACCCCCAGGCAGCAATATTAAAATATTATCTCTAGATAAAGCGGGTGCCAGATGCAAGGGCAAGAAAGGCGAGTCGTTCAAATAATTATAAAAATAATTCAGCTTAAAATAGGAAGTTCTCCCATAGAAAGCTCCTCCACTAAAGAGGTGAGATAAAATTGGTTGGTTTCTCAAACTGGAGTCCGCTCAACTTTGGACTAGACTATTCGTCTAGAACCCGAAAAAAATACTTTTTTTCTGCAATTTTTATGAAAGGGAAGAAAATTATTGCGGTCAACTAAATTTTCAGACAGTACAGTAATGTACTATATTTAAGCTTCAAACAAAATTTTTTGCATACAAAAATATTGTAATTTTTGATGAGTTCTTAGAAGCGGCTGCAGCCTAAACTCGTGAAACAATGCCGGTGATGGAGGACGTGCGCTGCATCTGAAACAATCGAACAAATTTTTTTTTTTAATTTTTATGAGTTTCGCACCTATATGAATTAAAAAAAAATAACGAAGTAGTTACAAAAATTCAAATTTTTTCGAAGTTTGAAAAAAATTCACTTCAAGTTGCGAAAAAAAATTGTTTAATTGATACTTTCGTCCAACTTTTTTTTGAAGGAATATTTTTGAATATATTTAGAATAAATTTAAGAAAAAAAATGCATATTTGGAGCCTCTAAAGCAGACTTGGCCTTAAAGAAAAACACATAGTTTTTTTATATTTTTCGTTAGTCGTTGTGTTCCTTTTTATTATTAACTCAGATTATTTAATGAGAAAATAATAAATACCAACAAAAACAGGTATTTATCATAAATTCAATAAACAGCCAATTTGCGCTTAATATATAATATAATATTAAAAAAAAAAATCGGTATATTTTATAGTATTAAACAAATAAATTTTGGTTGGTTGCCGAAAGGAAATTTTTTTTCTCCCATTTCTAGTTTCATGGAATTGGCTAACAGTAGCCTGATTCCTTAGGTCTTTAGATCTCGCTTCACAGCTGGTTGTGGTCACTGATAATTACCACTGTTTTCAGTGGTTCACTTACTTGCAGCCTTCGTCGCGAACGTTCAATTGTCTGCATATGTAACGCGCCAATAATTTAGCGGGACGTTCTTGCCACTCCGTTAGTGTTTCCTTGGATTCGGAAATCTAAAAAATTATTCTCCCTTAATATTGAATTAACCAAAAAGTTCATTAATTGAGCAGACCTGGTCGCCATCGAGTCGATTTAGTATGGCCGCACAAATGATTGCTGCTCTAACGCCCGCTTGATTGGTCAGCGCAGCAAACATGGAGCTCTCCATTTCAATATTCACCACACCTTTTTGTCTTAACATATTCAACCACTTCATTTTGTCAGCTTCTTTATAATCACAAAATGCGCCATCCAAACGACCTTGGCCTATAAGAGTTTTTCGAATTTTTTTTTTTTGTTTTTTTAATAAGAAAAAATACTAAGAACATAACTCGCCTTCGTAAAAGTCATCGGCGCAGTAGGTTTTTCCCACCACCGTTTGGTAATCATCACTCAGGTTTGCTAAAGACTTCAGCTCTTGTGCTAAATTGACATCCAGCTTTGTGGGACGCGCAACGATATTGCCGAGAATTTTCTGCAAGGAGTCGAGTTCAAACATAATTAATGCAATGGGAGAAGTTTTATCTTATTAAATTATCATTTACTTACAAATTCGTGTTCCGCATTTAATTTGTCATTGAGTACACCATCCGAAATGACCACCGTACCTCCCGGCACACCCAAGCCGCCACATGTGCCAAGACGTATGAATACAGGATTCTTACATTTCGCATGATACATGAGCTTGATCAATTCATGTAGTAAAATACTGATTGATGGATTGCCCATACCATGATTGACACAAATAATCGGTCCCACTTTGTACATCGAATATCGCTCAGCGGCACCGGTGATATCGGACAACTGTGTGCCGATCGGCAGTTTGGCTTTCATTTCATGCATAAAATATTTTGCTAATGATTCCATACGTTTCGGTGTGCCGCCAACAATGACGAACTGAAAGAAGAGCAGAAATGCGTGGAGTCAGTAATAAGATGAAGCAATAGGTCCTCGTTAAATGTGCTTAGCTCGATTCTTTAGCAAATCATCTATTCAGAAGCTTGACCTCCAAATCTGCGAGCTTGATGCGCAGAACCTATCCAAAGTGATAAAACTTAAGTGGTAGCACTTTGAAAACAATAACCAATGAGAACAAAAGCGAACAATAAGCTCTTTGGACTATAGTAATGCGAGTTGGCCCATAGAAGACAGATGTATCCTAAAGAACCGGTACCTAGTAATCCTGAACTGTCTGTAGTGGGTGAATATTGGACTCGTCCAACATCATCAATCACACGAATAGAAGATGTTGATGCGCTCGGCCAAAGTGTCTTTACTATTAATGATTGTGTTCAGAAGTCCTATAGCACGACTACTTATATGTATGGCAAGGGCTACTGCCTCCGGCCAATGTCGGCAAGACTAATGCCTATAGTAGAGTTCCAAAGATATTGCTCAAGAGCTCCTTTATGGGAGACATACAGACAAGCCTCGCTATGTAGAACTTTCAATGACGACGTCAATGGCTCAGCCGCATTCTGGTCCCTTTAGTCAGCAGGCAAATGCTGTCGCGGATGATTTCTTAGAGAGGACTTCTGAGCAACTGAGATCTATGAAGTTTTTTTTTTAAATAGACATCTTCGGAAGTTAAACAAAATCCGTACCTACTCAGTTATTAACCGAGGAATTGAACTTGCAAGATTTCGACACTTTCGAAATAAACGTTGGTGTTTTAAATAGAAACCCATTATTTTTCAATAGATGGCATTATTTTTCTGTATCTCGGGTTGTATAAGTCCGATCGGGTTCAGCTAAATGGCGTTAGATAGAAGACATTTCGTACTAAAAAAGTTTTTCTGACAATTTTTGATTATCTGATGCAGTTTTGTGTCAAAGATGGTCACTAGCCAAGGTAAAATATGCTATATTTTACAGCTTTTCTTCGATAAGGGCAAAAGCCAGGCGGCTGGAAATATGGATAGCGCTTGTGGTCCAGACACTGTTACAGCCAATCTTGCACAATTTCGGTAATTTTGATGTAGAACATGCTTCACGGAGTGGAAGGCCACTTGTCGAAAAAAATGAGAAAATCATGGACAGTGTCGAGTCCGACCGTCATGTAGGCACTGTTTCGATTGCCCAAGAGCTAAAGATTGCACAAAAAATCCTTTGGAACCGTTTGAATGAGGTTAGATATGAAAAGTAAAAAATTAAAGCCTTCAGTTTCAGGCAAGAATAATGGATTTCTTTTTACTACACCCAAATTAGACTAAAAGAAGATTTTTTATTTCTATAGCATCCCATGAAACTAACTAATCCCGTCTACCTAAATTCCAAACCCTGCCAAAATATAACTTTAAAAAAAGAGGTATCTCTCCGGGAATTAATCCGCTGCTTAACTAACTCCAAGTTAGCGGCTTTAAGGTTCCCTTTCTGCCTTTCTAACTATAATTAAAAATTCTCCAATATGGAATTTTTAGTTCTTTCTAATAGTAAATAGGTTTAAATTGTTTTCAATATCTAATTACGGTACCTACCTTTACATCACCAAACATCGCCGGCAGATCATGTGTTTTCGTGCCCAATCCTAAATGATAGAGATAGTCCTCCTCCATAGCAAGAATATGTGGATTACGTATAAAGTTTGTAATGCATTGTGAAGATTGTTGAGCGGTTGACCTGTGAGGGAATAAAAGAACGTTTAGAGCTTCAATAATTCCAAAGCATAATTCAAGTTAAATTTTTCTTAAAGTCCGCACTTACATGCAACCACAGCTCTCGGAAGCTAGTACCATTTTTAAAACTTATTTTCTAACTAGAAATTTGGGAGACTAAGAAATTTTTTTTGCTTTATGAACGACAATTTTATTTGAATGGGAAATTTCTTGAAGCGAACGTCAAATTAAGTTGTTTTCAAAAATCTTGTTTCATCAAGCCATGGCATCAAGCTTTTCTAAGGTTAGAGTAGTAGAGTCAAATATTACGGAACTTTTTTTACCGCACTCTATTTCAATACTATTCTAAAGATTCGTGTGTCTTCTTTAAATATCTTAGTTGAATCTAAACTAGGCGCAAACGCAGGGTGGCCGGTTTGGGAGTTCGAAACCCACTGAAGTTATTGCGAACATTTTTTTCAAATGACACAGAAAGTTTTGTAGAATATCAAATGAGATTTCCATAACTCAGTTTGGGTTTATGCTTCGACATCTATCGACATCGAAGTGAGATTAATAGCTTTCAGTGAATTCTCCGCTAGAACCTTGGAGTACAACTCGATGTTTAGGGGGATGAATGACAAAATAGAACGTATATCCCCACGCCTTATCTGAGAAAGAAAGTTTCAACGCTCCGTTCATGGAGGTCAGCAAAGTACGACCCGCCTGTGGTACGTAAACATTTAAACCGATGGATCAAAAAGGTCTGATGGAGTGATATTATATTGCGCTAAGCTAGACCACAGACAACCCTTCAAGATTTCAGGAGGAGGTTTTCGCTATAGAAGAAAATGCTGCGGTGGCTAACAACGCAGGAAACCAGACACAAAATACCAATTAATCGGGCGGCGCTTAGGGCAATCATCTCACATGGTATTTCGTTAGAAAATTGCATTATAAGCAGGAAAACAGTAGACTCGGTAGTCGAGGGTAAACGACTGAATGCACATCTACTGATGGACTCCAGAATGAGCATTATGTCACTACTAATATCAAAGAAATGCAGACAGGAGGGCATGAGTGAGCAGTTAGATCATCTCCTCTTGTTCTGTCGAGCCTTAGCCAAAACTTGATTTAGTGATCCCGGAGTTTCGCAGCTCAAAGGGGTAAAGGGGTATACATTGATTATTTCTTTTCTTCTTATTTACTAGCGTAGACATTGCTTACGCGTTTATAACCAAGCTAACAACAGCGCGCCTTTCATTTCTTCCTCTCGCTGCTTTATGCCAATTAGAAATAACAAATACAGTGAGGTCCTTCTCTACCTGGTCCTTACAACGGAGTGGAGATCTTTAACTTCCACTGTTTCCACCGGCAGGTACTGCATCGAAAACTTTCAAAGCTGAAGTATTCTTATCCATCCAGACTACACTATCTACCCAGTGTAGTTTCTGTTTCTTGATTCAATGAACTATGTCAATGTCTACGGATATCTCGTACAGCTTATCGTTCCATTATTCGTCGTTGCCATTGCAAAAAGAAACATTAATCTTACTTCAGTCTTTTCGCTCGAAAACTCGCAGCACCGATTTATCAGATGTTTTAATTATCCATGCTTCGCTAAGTCCAAAGTAGCAAGAATTAAAAAAGTAACCCGATAACGAATCACTTTGTCTGAAACCTCGTTTTGTATAGGGCGGTTTCTTTTCGTAGTGTCGAAGACTGTTTTAAAATCGACAAAGAAGTGGCGTTTGTCGATCCTCTTCTCTTGGAAGGCTTCCGAAAATTGAGGCATGGTGAATAACTGGTAAATGGTTGTCTTACCACGTCTAAAGCCATGCTGATCCCTTCAGTGTGTTGACAGTTGGCTGTAGTCTTTTATCCAATACACTAGATATTAAGGATAATTATCCGACGGCGGCAACGTTAGTCGAGTGGTTAGCATTGCTTACTGCCATCAGGAAAGCCATGATTGGAGTCCTAGTCCGACCAACATCCAAAATTTTAGAAAATAATTCAAATCAAAATTAAGTTAAATTTTCTAATCCCGGTCGCCTCTCGGCAGGAGATCTCAACCCTTCCGAGTGTATTTATGTCATGAAATAAAAGCTCCTCATAAAAAACCATCAGCCGTTCGAAGACAACTTGGTATAAACAGTCGGTCCCTACATTTTGTTGAAAAAACATCAACCCCTAAAACCGCAAATTATATATGATTGAGGAATCGGGGTCGTTGTCCCCTAATGTTCCGATTACTACTTTAGAAAAACCAACAGGTCGAAGGATCTTACTTTTTCCTTAATCAATAAGAGTTAAAAGTAAGCTTTTTGTTTGGCCTCGACGAATAATACTCTCAACAGGATACAAAAAACAAGCTAGTTTCACGCAAAATTTTTTTCAAAAATATTAACCATCTGACATAAAAAGACTTTTTACTTTTGCTTTATTTTCATTTTTAAAAAAATAAATCTTCAACTTTCTTAAATAAAAATAAATATATTGCAAAAAATTCAAAGCCTTTCAATATTAACAAAAAAGTAAAGAAAAATAAAACGTACTCACAAAAAGCTTAAAGGCTTTGCATAGCATTTTCTGAATTCCAATGAAAAAAAAATATTTTCAGGCGGATTAGTATCTATTTTTTGTTATAAAAATATATGAAATATTTTTAAATTGGCAATATCTTGAAGTTAAAATAAAAATAAAATAAAATGTCAAAAAAACTTTTCTTTCGATTTCTTTTTTTGTATCATGACTCTCACTTAATCTTATATTTTTTTTTTCTATTTTGCTTTGTCTTTCGTTGCTTCGTAAAGGAATTGCGTTTTTGTTACTTTATTTACAATATTTTTCTTCCAAAGCAATAAAAAACAGAAAAACAAATACCATAAGCTGAAGATTGCATTATTTGTTTCAAATTTTTTTTTTGTTTCGTACAGCTGCTTTATAACATTTTGAAAGGATTTAGTTGATGACGAATAATTTTTTTGAACGCTGTATGTGATGGGTATTACTTCAGATCACAAAGTGAGAATTAAATTGTGAGTTAAATTTGTGTGCTCATAGTTACAGTTACAAGATGATTTGAACTTACCGTTAACTAAATATAAGTCAATGGATTTTTTGCTGCTTTAATGCATTTTCAAATTTTTTTAATATTAGATACTGACAAGCGAAATGCGGTTATTATTTCCAAATCACCAGTAGCGACCTTAGCAAAGTTACTACGCTGACTATTTTCGAATTTGTTTAGGAAAAATTGACCAAAATGCATTCGAGACTCTTTTTGAGGCTCATTTAAAATTCGTGGTACCCAACGAGCAGATTTCTTCGTGTAACCCAGATGATTATTAAATATTTGCGATTAGAGTCATGGCATAAAAGGAATTAGGAATATTTTCTTGTCTCAATCGAATTTGCACTTCACCAGACCCACAGTCACGTCATCAGTGGAAGATTTTGGTCGACCTTTTCGGGGCTCGTCCTCTACGGAAAAATGTCCAGTCTGGAATATTTGGAACTACTGAGAAATGGTCTTTAAAGGCGGTGCTATCGTTCCATTTGCAATTTGGCATTCAATGAATATTTGTATTGACTGTAAATTAAGTCGAAACCCGAAGAAAATCAAGTTTCTTTTTGCGATGGTATTGGACTTTCATCTGACCCATCCTCAGCTTTCATGCGTTTTCTCGTCTCTATTTTAGAAGATCCTTCTAAAATTTGAAAGGAAGACCAGCAAAATAATTGCAAAGGATTTGGTATTTTTAGATTTAACAAAAACAAATTGAAAGTAACCAACTGACCGAACTTTTCTTAATCCCCTCGTATATATACATTAGTACATAGGCATATGCAAGTAAACAGACTAGAAACAAATGACAACGACACGTATCTGCTGATCTTACAAGAAGGCAAAAATATAAACAAAAAATAAAAATAAAAATAAACATAAAAATAAATAAAATAGCGCAATGACAAAACAAATAAATGGCGCGAAAAGAAAACACAGCTTCTGCGTCAGTGTAATGCTGATGATGATGATGCCCAAATACCAACAACGCGACATACGACACCTAACGGCCGGTTGAGATGAAAATGTTAATCTTGATATGTCACACAAAAAAGAAAGGATAGAAAACGACGGAACAAGAGCGCAGAAGAAATATTTTGTTTTTATTATTGTTGTCTGTATTATCTGTTCCTGGTGACAGAGTGTCATTCCGAGTGTCAGCGAAGATGTTAATTATGCTTGGACTGCGCAATGTGTGGCAGAAGCATTTGAACATACATCTATACATCTATACATCCATCCATACATACATACGTATGGTGCATATTAAGTAATTAATGGGGGGAGGCTTATAACTAAAGAATGGCTAAAGAGAATGAATGCTCTTTTGGTGCCTTAACGGTATTTTGAAATTACGATGATCATTGACATAATTAACACTTGAATTTCCTTTGAAAAAGGACCATATGACGCCCTATGGCTTATATGTTTGTTGGTGAGTAAGCTCAATTTTCGGGAAGAGTTTATGGACTACTGACCACCGTCGGCTTGCGCAGCCATTTTATTTTTTCTGACATTGCGCCATAGATACAGCTCCTTACTGTGCTACCGAAGGCAGCTTTTAAATTTATAAAGTATCGCTTCTGGTCTCGCGGTTCTTTTCCAAGGCTTGGCACATTATGAATATCTGGTCTGTAGCCACACAGATAAGATCAGTTGGCTGCCGGTGAGCTTTAGTTTTTTTTTTTTGGTTTTCCCACAATATGCTCGATAGGACCTTTCATGCGATATTTGGAAGGCTTAACAGCGGTAATTGGACCATCATTATTAACCAACAACTATTAAGTGCGCTAATTTGGCCGCTATTTTCTTTTCTTTTTTTTTAGCCGCTATTTTCTTAACAGCTTGGTTAGTGAGTTGCTTTGGAATCCTCTATACTTTCAGGCGTTAATTGATTGAAAAATGTTTGTTTTAATAACTCTGCCAGTAAGCCATCGCCTTCAACCGCTTTGTTTTGTTGTTATTTAACTGGACATCGTTATTTCATAGTTGGATAATGGAACGTCTTTTCCATTCATCATTCATCGATTGAGCTTTCGGGTTCATCACCTAAGTGTGTTGCGCTTTCACTGACGTTCAAAAGTCAGGAAGAGTGTTTCCTCCATACAGCAAGTATACTCCGGTCTATGAAAGTGTGAGTCGCTGCATTTTGTC